TATCCCATGGTCAAGCATCACTATCTTGTGACCACACATTAACTATCCCATGGTCAAGCATCACTATCTTGTGACCACACATTAACTATCATATGGTCAAACATCATCTTGTGACCATGCATTAACTTTCTCATGGTCAAGCATCATTACCTTGTGACCANCTTGTGACCACACATTAACTATCCCATGGTCAAGCATCACTATCTTGTGACCACACATTAACTATCTTATGGTCAAACATCATCTTGTGACCATGCATTAACTATCTCATGGTCAAGCATCATTATCTTGTGACCACACATTAACTATCCCATGGTCAAGCATCATTATCTTGTGACCACACATTAACTATCCCATGGTCAAGCATCATTATTTTGTGACCACATATTGACTATCCCATGGTCAAGCATCATTATCTTGTGACCACGCATTAACTATCCCATGGTCAAACATCATCTTGAGACCATGCATTAACTATCTCATTTGTTATCATCTCGTGGTCATGGGATAGTACTGCGTGGGTACAATTTTTCTATCTACTGTCACCAGTCTCTGTACTGAGTAATAATGAAGAGATGCTGTCATAATTTAAAATTTTAAGTCAATATTATGAGTTTAAAACTCACAATAATGATATTAAGACTTCTATTTGATTTAAAGTCCAAGTTATGTTTTAATCATTTTTGTGAAGTAGCAAAAGATTAGCTAACACTAAAAGTAGCAAAAAGTTAGCTTAAATTAGCAGGGCAGTACATTTAAGCTAAAGATAAACAGAAAAGTTTGGTTAAAAGATAAAAGTAACAGGATGGTAGGTAAATGATAAAAGTAGGAGAACTGTGGCTAAAGACTAAAAGTARCAAAACAATACTTAAAAGCTAAAAGTAGAAAAAGTATGACTAAAAGCAAAAAATAGTAAAATACTAGCAATGAAGCTTGACAAAAAAGAAAAACAAGTTTCAAAATATTGTTGGTGTATTTTTTTAACTTTAATTGATGCCACCCCTTTCAGTGCTCACTACATGTCCAAGTTTGTGGCTAAAAACCTGACTTTCAAAATAAGAGACACAGCATTTATCATACCACAGCACTGAAGCAACCAAAGGAAAAACAACAAAACTAAGTAAAAGCAGCTAAACATCTGCAGGCCAACAAGTTCAGTTTGCACTTTAGATAAGAGAAAGTCCGGCTCGAGGATGGATGCACCATCTGGAGGGAGTTACACTTCTTATAAAGACATCATTAACAAGAGTAAAATGCCCAAGTAATCTTTATAACTTCACATATTGTTAGCATTCCTGCAGCGACTCTCCGCTCCCACAATCTAACCTCTAATCTCCCAACAGCTGTAATAATCATCCTCCAGATGCTGAGCTAAAAATACCAAGAGGAGGCTGGACAATTTATGCTCATGTCCACAGRAGTACCCAGTCTCAAGAACACAACTGAGCAAACACATCCAAACTATTAATTATTCACTGTAATGACTAACTTAGCAAGTTAGTGAAACTAAGGCCAGACAAAGTAAGATTTTGATTTAAAACCTTTAACAGATTTTTCTATAAAGCTGGTTAGGTCGGAGTAATAGTAAATAACTTTAACAATTGAGAAAGGTTGGGATTTGTAGCCATGAAAGCTTTTAATCTTTAATAATCCGGACAGTTTCAAAACCACAGAAACAGAAAATACAGACAATAGAGGTACCCTGAAAAATTACCAGTAAAACATCAGAAGGCAATACGAACAAGATAGAAATAAATAACTATCCAAGAAAATTGGTATTTTGCCCCCTGTTTGAGTTTACAATTGGTGCTACTTTCTAACAGTCAGCATCAGTTTGACATTAAAATATGAATAATTAAACTATGCTTAAGTATTCTTTTAAAATTCCTAATATAGCTAACATCCGTACACAACAGAAAACTAGCAAGAGAAATCAGTGAGCCAGCACTCTCTAACTCAAAAGGATGTTTTGCAGTGGGACCGTGTGGTGAAGCTGTAAACAATTAATATCTTGTTATATCCTATCCCTGTTGTAGATAGTTCTTTTAACTTTAAATTTGAGACCAGTTTCATGAGCTAACAGCTAGTCTGACACTTAAGAGGACTGCCATCTTGGAAAAACTCCAGTCTCCGGCGTTGGGCACAATTTGACTAATCCGCTGCTAATAGCAGAACTAGCTTCTCATTTAGCAGATTAGCTTTTTTTGCAAACTTTTGAAACTGCTAGCAGATGATTAGCTTCCGCTAAATTAAGTTCCACTAACCTGGAGTCCACTAACGTTCACAAGTTTTGAACTTCTATTTTTATGCCATTTAATAAAAAAATTAATAAATAAATTTAATTAAAAAACTATCTCCTCTTACAAGCAGTGCTAGACGTGTCAGGCACCATGTATGTAGCGTCTTTAGCAACTAAACTTCAAATTAAGAGCGTCAAAAAGAAGTAAAATAACATTAAACAATATTTAAATAATAAATAGAAAAAATGATTATGTATAAAATACATAGTATTAAATCAATCCCATGAAGATGAAGATGTGTGACACAAACTGAACTGTCTTAGCGGTTAGTGTTAGTTTCCCCTAACACAGRGGTGCACAAACATTTTCCCTGGGAGGGCCAAAATGAAAATCARTCTGAAGGCTGCAGGCCAAATGCAATAATATAATAAATGGAATGCAAATACTTAGTAAGTAAAGCTGTTTTATTTTTTCGTAATTAAGATTGCATTTTTTTTTTCTTTTTTAGTTAGCTGTAGCTGTATCAATGCAGCCTGGAGYGCTTTTGGCAATAATATCCCAACAGTTTAGCCAGTATTGTATCACACCACTGTGTGATACAATACTGATTGTGATTTAAAGGTTAATAAAGTCACTTTCACACACAATTTTTGAATTTGGTATTTAAGAAGGCGACACTTGGCCCTTCATGGACAAGCCATTAGCTCATCAACATGGTCAGGGTTAAACTCTATGGTTACGTTCAAAGGTTTTACAACTGTATTGTGTTTTTTGTTTGTTTGATTGTTTTGTTTTTTTTGTCTAACATGGCTAGAAATAAAAATGCATTTCACTTAAAATTATTAAACCATACAACAAAACTGACCCAAAATTACCCGTTTACTACARCTTAACAACATTTGGATGGATTTTAAAGATTTAATACATCTATCACCATAAACTAATTAGTTCATTTGGAGAAAATATTGACATCTTTCACATGCAGCTTATTATTTTAATTGTCATCATTCAGACATCAGTGCCTCAGGCTTTAAAAGTGCAGTAGTGTGGGGTGGGGTGGATGGGCGGGTCCCTTCAGACAATCGTGGCCTTGTACAGATCCGACTGGCAGTCCTTGGCCTCCGCYGGGTTGCGGCCATTCTGGGGCATCTGTGCGCTCCTCATTTTGGTCTGGCACTGTCGCAGCTCTGCGACGTAGCCTTGGAAACTCAAGCTAAGCTCAGAGTCCTCTCCCTGGGAAGGTTCAAGCGTTCCCTCYTCCAGGTGCACTCCCTCCACATCCATCACGTCCTGAAGCAGAGGCTGCGTGGCGTCGGATCTGTCGGCCGGTGCTTTGATGCTGGGGCTGGTTTCTGTTCTTCCCTCTGCGCACAGGAGACAAGAGTTAGGGATGTGCAGATCAKTACCACCAAAACCAGCATTTTATGCTCTACATTTAAAGTTTTGATACGTTGATACTTAASTAATTTCAAATAATAAATATCATTAAGAGGAACAGGGTGGAAAGTAAGWAAACTATTGAAATCTTGTCTAAATCATATGTGATTGGTGGAAACTACTACAAATTAGCGGCAGCGGCTAATTTGTTCAAGTAAATCCAGCACATCTGTTTTTTGAGACATTCTCGCCACCTACTGGCAGGAGTTGGTAATTCAACATTTTTGGTAAAATAAACTGAAGAAAGAAATCATTTAAACAAAAAACATGTTTCAAAAAATTCCTTCAGTCATGTTAGTGATTTAAAGTAGCTATTCTTAAATAATGAATTACACAGATATAACTGGAAACACTTAGTGTACACCTCTGCCAACACTCTAGATCAGGACTATTCAACTAGTGGCTCGTGGGACACATMAGGCCCACTGGTGACCAAAATCTGGCCCACCAATTGGTTCATTAASTTCATTGATTCTTAGGCCCAAAACTTTGGTTTTCTACTTTAATTACTMTAAGTTCTTTAAGTTAAACATGTGTGGTATCTACAGAAATGTCAGAATCTTGCCCAAAAGCTGGTAAAAACCACTTGAATGAAAACCCAAGACACTTAAAACTACAAGCAGTAGAATATGAAATTAAGATAAGTAAAAATAAAATCGGTTTAAAAATGTGGCAAGTTAAATATGTCAAAATAATATTTGTGTAAATTGTTTTTGATTTTGTTTTAATATCATTTTTTATTACATAAGGTTCTATATGTTGTATTCATGATTAAATGCAGCAAAGTAAACTAATTCAATGGTAACAGATCCCTGTAATACTTGGTTTATTTACAAAATTACTTATACTGTGTGTGTGTGTGTGTGTGTGTGTGTGTGTGTGTGTGTG